TATTAGGATGGAATTTGATTTATTTTTCTTTTCTTGAAAACTTCATACAGATTAATCCTCAATTACAGCTATTCATATAAAATAGTTCTAATCAATCATTAAATTTGGTTTGACACAAATTGTGAATAAAATCTGTTGATTCTTTTCCACAAAATACAATATCTTAAGTTATATTTATATAGTTATATTCTTGGGAGTGAAGGGGCTAATTACAGACAAATAAAATTGATTTTTTGATTAAAATCTTGTTGTAACTGTAACAATAAATTAGAATGAAGTTATCCTAAACTGCAAACTTAGCTGCTGTTTGTACTGTTTGTATTTTTTTTCCTGGGCTCACAATGAGTTGGCCTTGAATGAGGCTGTCAACAAGAACCTTGACCATTTTGTATCTGGATTCCTTGACATCTGAATTTGAAAAAAAAAAAATATATTAAAATGTGTATGTTTAAAGCTCAGACCAGGCTTTTAAGATGGCTATGAGGAAAAGGGCATTCATTGGATTCTCAAATTGAGAAATCTCTGTTATATTGAGTGACTTTTATATTGGAGTTAGTACATCTCTCTCATGGATTTTACTAAAAAAGGGCTGAATACATTATTTTGTTTTTACCAAGGAGGGCTTCTTTATGTACTAAAGTTTGTTATGAATCTTGAATGTTCCCAAACGTGACTAGAGGAATCTTGAAACCTTACTGATAGGTTTATTTCATTGTAAAACATAAGCTTAAGAAACCGCGGCATGCAAGTGACCGATTCGATTCTCAGAATTATTCTAGTTTCAGTTGCGCCGAGCGTTATGTAAGCTTAATTCAACCCGCTACATCTATTCTTTTATAAGATTTTGATCACGTAACGAATATCGCAATTTTTACTCACCACAAACTTTCAAAATCGTAGCTTTACAGATGGCCACTCGACCCTTGTTTTAGCAGTCCATATGTCAACTGTTGTCCCTTCTTTTAACTCCACGGCGCCAACGACTTTCTTCTCTTTTACAACACTCACGCTATTCTCGTTTTCCCATTGAACCACAATAAAAGCTATCTTTAGAAATGTTATATTTAGCAAAACAGTTGAGAAAAGCGATCAACCGATGAAAAGTACATTCAAAAATTTGCGCCAAATGGAGTCTTCTTTGTTTCCGATCACGGGCATGATCACGTGGATCTTTTAGGACTTGTCATTGGCTAGCAAAGTGAATCCGCTGGCTTGCCGATTGTAGTGTTAGGAGAAGCGCACAACTTTATTCGGACTTCTCCGACCGGTTCTCTGCTTCTAGAAGATTGATAGCTTGGTAATATAAATAAAGATGTGAGCTCACTCTATGTAGAAATAATTGAAAAGAATCGATCGTATTACAAATGCATGATTTGTGGTCGAAAGTTGTCGAGGAAACAAAGACTCGAAACTCACTTGAGTTGTGTTAATGGCAAAGGTGAGAAATAACACAAGCCAATCACAGTTTTGAATGCGACTACAAATCGTCTTTTACCCTCATATTTATAAAAGAAGGATACCACATTCGGAAGTATAAGAGATACATAGATGATCCCAGTGTACCAGTACCTAAATCTACAAAGCTTGACCGTAGCAAGCGTTCAGCAACACGTTCCAACACCGCCATCTCGATTCCTCAGTCAGTCGTTTCCACTGAACTTAAAGCAGTATTGACAATAGAGTAGAGTGCGTCTTACAAAGGAGAAACATTTGTACAAGAGACAGGAGTAGCTATATGCGATTACAGAGGTGCGTTGGAACTCTGGTCCACAAATAGTTATGCACTGCCCGAAGTATAAAACAATCTTGTTGATAGCTGACAGACAGAGAAGAACAACAAGTAAACTTAAGAGCTGTTATTATTGAAGTGTGACTAGCACTTTTCATTTTTATATAAAGAAGGACTTGTAATTTTCACCAAAAATAAAAAGATGTAATATTTTTTTGGGAGATCCAGTGATTGGGACATTTAAGAAATTAAGTTATGAAAGGAAACTTGGTTGGTACTTCTCACTACTAACAAGTCTTGTTGACAAATATTTTCAGATCAGAGTTTCAAGTGAAGTAAATTGAAGACGTCATATAAAAGGTGTTTTTCCTCAAAGGGAACATTGACTACCTCTGTCTTGTCTGCTTGCCAAATGTTTGCAAAGTGTGTGGATGATCCACAAGTATTGGAACTCTTACAAAAATGTTTTGTAAGAATAAAAACAGCAAAACAAATTACAGCAATTCGTCATGAAAATAGAGCAAAAAACTGAAAAAAAAGCAGCAACAACAATCATGAAAAAAGAAAGATTAATTAGGTGTTGAATTTTTTTGTCTAAGGCATGAAATTTCTTCTAAAAGTATTGTCAACAAAAAGTCTCTGACAGCGTTTGAGGCAACTGAGCTTGACTGTTCCAAGGTTTTCTAACAAAGGCAACCAGTAATGTAGGTTAGGGAAGTAAGATAACAATGTAATTATTGTTAATTATTGTGGAAGTTGGCAATTCCATTTAACATAACTGACAGCTGGTTCATGAGAAAATCCATATTAATGTAAAGATTTACTAAAACTTAGTTTGAGTAATAAATTTCATGATCTTTAAGTTATAAACATGTACATGTATGTATATCTCTTGGTAAGTTTTGTATAGCATACCTTTTATTGAGCCAAAGTTTTAAGCCTCTGAAATAACTCTTTTTCTAAAAACCTTCACATTCAAGGTATTGAGAATTTCTTAGAATTTATGTGGACCTCAGGGTATTAAAATTGCCTCAAATTCAATTCCCAGAAATTCCCAAGAGTTCCACACTTCTTAAATTATAGGTAGTTTGTAAAGCTGAGAATTCCTAGGAATTCCTAGGGATTCCAAGTCCTCACAAAACTGGAGTCTTCCTCTCCCAGAAATTCCCAGTAATTCCAAGCTTTTTAAATCAGAGTTAATTTGCATAGTTGGGAATTTTTGAGAATTCCTAGGAATTCCCAGAAATTTCCAGAAAACTGGGAATTCAGTTTGCAAGGGTCATTTGCATAATTGGGAATTTTTGAGAATTCCTAGGAATTCCCAGAAAACTGGGAATTCAATTCGCAAGGGAACTACAAGGTGAAATGATTGAGTAACGTAGAATAAAGAACTACTGCAAAACAGTGGTCTTTGTAACACTTGTGTTAACCTGATATCTCTTTAATACCTCTTTTATATTGTTGCTTATTGCCACATCATATTTTGTAATTTGTAAATCTTTTAATTCATACAGATCAGTTGCTCCATTTAAACTTTGAAAGTGATGCACTAAATTGTCTGTAGAAGATATATCTAATAGACCACATGTCCCTCGAGTGTTACTTTTACCATAAACATCTTTAGTATGTGAGTCAAACACTTTAAAATGGCCATTATCAGCACAGTAACTAATACCCACAGCAATACATCCAACTGTTAAAATAAATGACCTATATTGTTCTGATATCAATGACTCAAAAGCTCTTTTCAGGCCCATACAGTATTGATATCCCTCAATGGTAGGCTCACCGTGGACATTACCAAGGTAACTTTCACTGTATTCTAGCTGGTAATCTTTCTCTAGTACTGTGAGCATTGATGGTAAATCTGTTAGCAGTAAACATGATTGTCTTGATAATTGTGACAAACTGCTATATAGTTGATTTCCAATAAACATTATTTGTTTCAAGTCATCGGGATTGCCTATTCCTTTCATATTGTGGTATATTAATGCACATAAACTCATTGTTACCCTGCAGTTTGTCCAAATACAACAACATCCCCTTGACTATATGGTGCATACAAGGAACAGGGTTTTCTCTATATCATTATAGAGCTTGTTCTTTGCACAGTTGCCTCTGTGAATTACACCCTTGTACTCACTTTACGGGAAATTACACAGAAAGAACCTTCAATATTTGAGATATTTCTTTCCATGTTTATCTCTACTTGAATTGTAGACATATCTCATTGAAGAGTTAACGTTTCTTGTTCTAAAAATTGGTTTCCTTTGCATTTTTTGTACAAACCTGATTCTTGTTTTATATGTACTTTTTTTAATGTTGCATTATTTTTAATAAAATCATGGACTTTCGATGACTTTGGTACGTTTTTACTTAAACGACTCCGTACATAACTCTGCATTTTTCTAATTTTTCGAGAGAGACGTTTTAACATCTTAACTCATACTCTGCTTGGTTCACGATCACGTTTATAGCCATATTGGCATTCACACACAACACGAGTACGATTATAATATACAGACTTTGCACAACGAGATCTGAATTGTTGTACTTTTATTGACACTATAACATCATTATGTTCATGTACATTAGTCATATTGACAACTTTTTCTAGTAGATCACAGTCATCAAGAGTATTCACGATCGCTTGTACAATAATAATAGTGATTGTGTAAGAAATACCAAATCGTACTTTACAAGTACTGAACCCAATAAAAACAAATAACAGAAACAGTATATTTAACGGAAGAGCTAAGCTTAGATATTCAACCTTATTATTCAAGTTGTTTCTGTCAGTATCCTTATCCATTTCGCTGTTGTTAGCGCCACCTTCGAAGTTGTGTTCACGAACATTCTTGATTTTTTCAGCCAGTGAGGTGTTCGTCTCAGCATCATAGTTTGTTGTTAAATCGGCTGGAAATGTGATTTGAGGTTACTATTTTTATTAAACCAAAAAACAATTCATTTCTTTCCACGTGAGTTTCTAAGCTTCATCGAAATTAATTTTGACTTTCACTGAGTGGGGAGGGGTAGAATGCGCGACTACTTCCGTTCACGATCCACAATGCGACTTCCGTCTACGGAATACAACTTCCATCAACATATGCTTCACCACAATATCTCATTCATTAACCAGTCTCAGGTCAGGTCAGGTCATCTCCGAGGTAACTCGTTTTCAGAACGAGGGGTATGAATATTTGATCATTTCTTCACAATTTTCAAATTCTCTGAATGTAAATTAATCAGTTTTGCAGCTCAGGATAAAATAATGAAGTCAGACGTGTACGGTAAAATTTTGGTTGTGCCACCTCTTCTCGTTACTTACATTCCCATCCTCGTCTTTTTGATGATGAAGGTGTTTTACAGAAGAAGATTTGATCAAATCAGTCTCTGGGTTGCCATAAATGCATTTTCCAATATATTCAAGGAGAAGAAGAAGAAGACTTGTTGTCCTCGAGAAGCGAGGTGGCTGTTTAAAGACATTGATCTAACAGCAGAGGATGAATTATTATCCAAGGTCCTAACCAGATTTTTGATGCTGTTTTCTTTGATGTTTGGCGCTGTGCTGACAGTTTTTTGGCTACTCTTTGTGCTGGATGTAAGTTACGACTGCGATGAAGATGACCTCTCGAAAGACTGCTTCGAACGCAAATGGACTTCGGAGCCGCAAGACCCCCTAAACTGTAGCAGTGCTGCCGTTCAAACCTTGATTCAAAATGGAACCATACAGGTCGTCTGCAACAAAATCGTCTTCAATTTTGGATTGGCCAGTGGTGCAAGTTACGGCTCCTTCAAGCTCTCTATGTTCGCCATTAAGGTAAGTGCAAGTGCACTCTTGAGGATTGAGACAACAAAGATGCTACGATGCGTGCAAGTTTTTTGTGGATTACTGGTTCTCGGTATTAACATATCGCTTATAGTTGTTGACACAGCCATTCCTTCGGTAGCCATCTTGTTGAGAGATCAAAAAGTTGCTATCGTTCAGCTACTAACAACAACAATCACTGCTTTTCACTTCCTATTCTGTATTCCCTGGCGGGAGCTCATTGACTTGAAAACCCAGAGAGAGAACCCGTAAGATACTGTCATAGGAAACTGTGCTTAGACATCTGTATAGACACCACTTAAGTAGAGACTTGAAATTCTAGAAAAGTTTCGAGTAATTACCTGAACCAATTGATGAAACAATGCTTTAGTGACTGACAACAAATAGCCTTGTGAAGACTGTTCTAGCGGTGGGTTTTTGTGGTGAGAGTATTACCCTTGCCAGACAGCTAGTGTTAAACGAGAACGGCAAAATTAAACTCATATCTATTTACCATTCATGAATCAACCACAATGACAGTCTAACTAGGGACTAGTTAATAAACTAGTCAAGGAAGTTATACAGAGCGAACAGAACAAGCTCTATGGCCTTGCTTCTGCTCGTAACACATTAACCTTGATCCTAAGAGACGTATGGAAGACGAACAGATTCCGTAACAGGCTTATTACTTTTAATGCCCTTAAGGCCTTATCGATTTATTAGACTTTTATATTTCTTCGACACATTTCATTTACCAGCATAACATATTTTACATATATACGTTTATACAAACTTGTTTTAAACCACTGGTAGTCCTTTTAAGAATCTTTTTGTGATAATCGTATAACTCAACTTTTGGTAGCAAAGCGGCTATCAATAAACTATCTCTCTATCTCTCTATTGAGTCATTGCATCATAATTCCTATGCGTTATTCCTTGGAAAAAACTCATGGCGATGAAGTCGGCGAGGAGACATCTAAATATTACGCCAGTAAATTACTCGCTGTGAAAATCTGCTTCAAAATCTGAAGACGCTTATCTGATGCTTAAATCTAAGGGAATGTGAGAAATGGGCATATGAAACAGTTGTTCAGACAGCGCCTCCTATAACTTCACGCATTTATTTATCACAGTTTAGTATAAGAGCATGAGGCCATGAGGTTTCTTGTTTTCCCACTCTAAGAACCATTTTTGTCTCACAGCTAGAAATAGTGCTGCGAGAAAATTAAACGTTTAGGAAATTAAGAAGACAATTTTCCCGAAATTGTTTATCTCCTTGTAAGAAAGCTTATTGAAGCACGTAATGCAGATTATTTTGACCTTTGTTTTCCGAGTTACCCAGGTATGCATGAAATTAGAACAGTGATGAAAATTGTCAACTTGTGCCCTTGAATGTCAAAAATTATAATTGTTGCGTTAACACCATGCCCATCGATGCAAAGTCTTGCTTTGCAGTGAGGACGTGTCATTTTAGGAAAGCGTACTCCGACATCCGTCAAAAGGAGGTCATCTCGGGTAGATTTCTGATGACGAAATCCGAGCTCGCCTGATGTTGTCATGAAGGCCCTATTTCGCATTGTAGAGCCGCAAAATAGAGTAGAAAGGAACATTTACTTCGTTTCCGCTCATGAATTTGTACTAGCCTTAAGATATTTGCATTTTTTTCCGTTGCTAACCTATATGACAGATTCCACAAAATACATTTGACGCCTCCGTTTCACGGATGGCCGATCACAACTACAACGTAATGACATCTTCACGAAATCTGTCAAAAGCAGGATTTTAAAACACTGGAAATCTTCTGGATTTCTGATGAAATAAATTTAACGCAGTTACGTTCAGAGTTTAAGCGATACATTGTTATTTTTAATATGGTAATTGATTAAAAAATTGTACATTACCTCGATTGGACGGAGATAAAGTTTGAATATAAAGTAGCAGGCGATATTACTTTTGTCGACAAGGATAATCCGTGACTTGTCTCACCTATAACATTTTCTCTATCTGCGTTGTGCCATGATCATCATTGGAAATATTCTACGATAATATTTTTTATAATATTTAGATGAGGATTTTCAATTCTAAACGCAAGAGCGTAGTTAGGGAAAGATCTACATGAAACAGTTTCTCATGAATACATTTTAAAAATTCTTTTAGCTGACTTCTACATAGATAAAAATTAATACATAGATATATTTCACTTCGACGATTATCTTAATAAACAATTGACGGGAAGTTCTGAGAATCAGTTTTTTTCAGTTTTGACAGATTTCGTGGAGGTGTTACTATGTTGTAGTTGTAATCGGCCATCCGTGAAAAAGGGGCATCGCAGAAATTTTGTGAAGTCTGTAATAAAGGTAAGCAACGAAAAAAAAAAGCAAATATCTTACGGCTGATACGAAGTCATGAGCGAAAACGAAGCACGTGTTCGTTTCTACTCTGTTTTGCGGGTTTAATATGCTAAATAGGGCCTTCATCACGAAGACAACATCGGGCGAGCTCGGATTTCGTAATCGGAAATCTACCCGAGATGACCTCCTTCTGACGGATGTCGGAGTACGCTTTCCGTCATTTTAAGGGTATAATTAGTGTCGAGGCCGTAACTCGATACTCAGATCTAAAGCAATCACTTTCTGCGGAATGTACACTGCAAACGAAGTTGCATTGTGCTTGGTGATGATAGTGCTTTGGGTCATCCAGCACAAACCTTGTTGTCGGAAATCCCTTGTTGTCGGAATTCCCTTGTAAAGACTTGGAGTGCAAAAGTCCCAACTGCGGTGGCCCACAACTGTCACGGCAAAACAAACTTTACTCACGGCAAAACAAAATTAACTCACGGCAAAGCTAAATTAACTTACGGCAAAACAATTAACTCACGGCAAAACAAAATTAACTCACGGCGGTTGATCAGCGGTTGTTATTTGCATCTGAAATGGTATGTCGTGTAACAGTAAACAAACCAAATGGCGACCTTTGCTGCTAAGAATAGTGGTGGGGTGAAAAAGAAACCGATGATAATCTTAGAAGAGTTTATATTTTTTCGTTTTAGTTTCAACAAGCGGCGCCAGCGACTGGCAGGCGTGCGAGTATTCACAATGAAATAAGAGAACAACCGTTTTTCGTAAAATTGTAATTTACAGTCCTTGAAAACAATCCGAAGATTCATTAAAATTATTACTTACTCCGAAGGGCTCAGAGTTTACAGGTGTTCAAAAGCTTTTTTCTGTTATGGCGTGAGATTGGGGACAAAATCGATCACTACATTTCGTATCGTGTGTTTTTTCTGTGTGAAGCAACAGAAGGTGCCGGCGACTAGCGAAATTACAGGTTAACACGAAAATCAAATAACACCTAAACAAACAATTTTGGCTACCGATTTTCAGTGAATTTTTAAAGAACAATTTTTTCAAAGTTTCAAGACAATTTGAAGATTCAAAATAAATATTACGTACTAAAATGCGAAAGTTGTACACCACAAAATTGATAAATAGGCCTGAAATGAAATTCTATCTTGTTCTCGATTATGCGTTGCCTAGCGCGTGACCAAATCTACCCAGGCGGAAATCCAAAATGACGGTGGCAGTCTGAGCTCTGTTATATCACTCAAATCTCGTTCCCGTTTGTCTCATTTGATATAGAGGGAATAATTAATGTTTTCATTAAGACAGTATTGCTTTGATTTTCCAATATTTACAATGATAGACAGTAAATTTCGCTTTTCACCCACATTTACTTCCAACCTTTTCTTTTGAACCAGAAACAAAAATGATAAATGTTTAAAACACATGACATCATCCACCCTTGTCAAAGGTAATAGCATGATTATTTCAATTGTAATGCCTTCTTATCCCAAAATTACTTTGTTTCTTTGCTACATTAGCTAACACTGAACTGCTGCTCGTACTCTAAATATGACAATCAACCACAAAATTCCCTAAACCAGATAACATTAAACATAATCCAAAAACTCATATAAGTCATCTGTCAATTCACGAGTTTGCTCACAGAGCACTTTGATTCGAGCTCACAATGTTTTGCTCCACGTGTGGTTTGGTAGTAGATGAAGATGCAAACTATTGTAAAAGCTGGGGTAAAGGTACGTTTCTTAATTAAAAGCGTTCGTATCTGCATTTCTTTTAGTTCCAAATGACGATAGGCGTGAGAAGACACTGTTACAAATTAGCTGATTGGCACGTGTCTGGAATAAGATTGTGCATGCAGCCTGTGTGTAAGAAGAAAACGTTCATAATGTTTCAACAGGTGGAAAAAAAAAACAATGAAGCAAAATAATGTAGCTTACACCTCAGAGGAAACTTAACTTTAACAGTGCTATTTCCTTAAGTCTGTTTAACATCAATAAAACTCAAGATAAATGATTTGGAAATAATCAGGAATATTTTGGCCTTTGACCTCGTGCTCTCTGACTGTTTGCAGGTGTACAGTATTTTTCCACATTATGAATGTTTTCATTTTACACACAGGCTACATGCATAATCTTATTCCAGAAACATGCTAATCAGCTAATTTGTAGCAGTGTCTTATCACGCCTATCGTTATTTGGAACTAAAAGAAATGCAAATACGTACTCTTTAAATTAAGAAACGTACCTCTACCACAGCTTTTACAACAGTTTACATCTTCATTTGCTACCGAACCACACGCGGTGCAAGACATCGTTAGCTCGAAAAATGACAGTCTTTCGAGCGAGCAGTGTGTTACTGTTACTGTTACTGTTACTGTTACTGTTACTGTTACACGACGTACCATTTCAGATTGAAATAACAACCGCTGACCAACCGCTGACCAAGTCGTTTTCTTTGTTTTACCGTGACTTTTTGTTTTGCCGTGACAGTTGTGGGCCACCGTAGAAGATAAAATAATAGAAATGAAGGAACTATCGCTAACATTGCAACAACGACCGTAACATGGAAGTATCAACTGATAATCGGCAATTACATTGATCGTAAGGAAGGCTGGAAAACGATTAATAAGCTACGAGGTATTTAACTCAGACGATACCCTTATGTTAAATAACCTTATATTGGGGATGTGGACATAATCAAGCACGATTCCGAGCATACAAAAAAAAAACTAACTAACCGATTTAGTAACGATATAGGCCATTTGATAGGTGATAAAGGGAGACTTAGCTGAAACGAATAACAATAGAAAAAGCCTGAGAATTAAGCCTGAAAACAAGGAATCCATTAATTACTTGGTTTGCACACGCACTGAATTGGACTTCACCCCAAACTCCTTGAGACGCCCGGCCGAAAGAGTCTTCTTCCTCAGTACCTTGGCGTATCTCTGAGGAGTAGCAAAAAATCGATGACTACCGCCCCAAACCAGTCTCCTCCAAGAGTAAGAAGGTCATCTCCTAAGTACCTCGTTTTCAGAACGAGGGTCTGAATATTTTATCACTTCATCACAGTTTTTAAATTCTCTGAATGCAAATTCATCAGTTTTGCAGCTCAAGATAGAATAATGAAGTCAGACGAGTACGGTAAAATTTTAGTTTTGCCACCTTTTTTGGTTACTTACATTCCCATCATTGTCCTTTACATGATAATGCGGTTTTACAGAATTCCACTGGGTGGTATCAGTCGCTGGGTTGCCACAAATGCATTTTCCGATATATTCAAGGAGAAGAAGAAGAAGACTTGTTGTCCTCGAGAAGCGAAGTGGCTGTTAAAAGACATTGATTTGACAGCGGCGAAGGGATTATTATCCAAGGTCCTATTCAGATTTCTGATACTGTTTTATGTGATGTTTGGTGCTGTGCTGACAGTTTTTTGGCAGCTCCTCTTGCGGGACGTAAGCTACGACTGCGATGAAGATGACCTCTCGAAAGACTGCTTCGAACGCAAATGGACTTCGGAGCCGCAAGACCCCCTAAACTGTAGCAGTGCTGCCGTTCAAAATTTGATTCAAAATGGAACCATACAGGTCATCTGCTACAAAATCGTCTTCAATTTTGGATTGGCCAGTGGTGTAAGTTACGGCTCATTCAATCTCTCTATGTTCGTCATTAAGGTAGGTGCAAGTGCACTCTTGAGGATTGAGACAGCAAAGATGCTACGATGGGTGCAAGCTTTGGTTGGATTACTGGTTCTCAGTGTTGTCATATCGCTCATAGTTGTTGACGCAGTCATTCCTTCGGCAGCCATCTTTTTTTCGGGTCACCTAAGTACTATCGCTCAGATAGTAACAACAGCAATAATTTCACTAGTCTTCCTGTTCTATATTCCCTGGCGGGAGCTCATTGACTTAAAAACCCAGAGAGATAACCCGCAGCGTTCTCTCTTAGAAAACTGTGCTGAGGCATCTGTATAGACACCACTCAAGTAGAGACTTCAAACTTTAGAAATGTTTCGAGTAATTACCTGAACCAGTTGATGAAACAATATGCTTTAGTTACTGACTATGACTTGTTTATTTCCTACTATGGGTGCGGACACTGATAGAAATAGCCATGTGATGACTGTTCTTGCGATGGGTTTTTGTGTTGAGAGTTTTACCCTTGCCAGACAGCTGGTTTTTTCGAGAACGGCAAAATTTAACTTATATCTGTTTACCATTCATGGGTCAACCACAATGGCAGTCTAACTAGGGACTAGTTAATAAACTATTCAAGGAAGTTATACAGAGCGAACAGAACAAGCTCTATGGCCTTTCTTCTGCTCGTAACACACTAACCTTGATCCTAAGAAACATATGGAAGTTTAGGCTCGTCTTCAATGCCAGTCTAAATAGGGATTAGCTGACAAATTATTTAAGAAAGTTATTAAGCGCAAAAAGAACAAGCTCCGTGACCTTTTTCTGCTCGTAACACATGTACCTTGATCCTAAAAAACTTACGGAAGTTTAGGCCCATCTTCAAGACGAACAGATTTCGTAACGGTCTTGCCGTGTTACTTTTAATGCCCTTAAGGACTGATCGATTTTATTTGACTTTTATGTTTCTTCGACATATTTAATTTACTAGCATAACACAGTTAAATATATGTTTATACAAACTTGTTTTAAACTACTGGTAGTCCTTTATAATGACCTTTTTGTAATAATCGTATAAATCATTTTCTGGTCGCAAAGCGGCTATCAATAACCTATCTATTTATCTCTCTATCGAGTCATTGCATCATAATTCCTATGCGTTATTCCCTGGAGAGAACTCATGGCGTTAAACTCGGCAAGGGAACATCTAAATATTACGCCAATAAATTACTCGGTGTGAAAATCTGCTCCAAAATCTGCAGACGCATATCTGAGGTTTAAATCTAAGGGAATGTGTAAAATAGGCAAATGAAACAGTTGTTCAGACAGCACCTCCTATAACTTCACGCATTTATTTATCATAGTTTAGTATTAGAGCATCGACATTTCTGGCCATGAGGTTTCTTGCTTTCCCACTCTAAGAACAATTTTTGTCTCATAACTAGAAATAGTGCTGCGAGAAAATTAAACGTTTAGGAAATTAAGAAGACAGTCGTCCCGAAATTGTTCATCTCCTTGCAAGAAAGCTTAATGAAGCGCGTAATGCAGATAATTTAGATCAATTTTTACCTACGTTTTCCGAGTTACCTTGGTATGCATGAAATTAAAACAGTGATGAAAATTGTCAACTTGTGCCCTTGAATGTCAAAAACTATAATAGTTGCGTCAACACCATGCCCATCGATGCAAAGTCTTGCTTTGACGGGAGGACTTGTTATTTTAAGGGCACAACTATTCAATTTATCATTTTCTCTTGCATCATACTCCAATGCAGGATCACTATCTGTTGTTACATTCTTTGATGTAGCTTGTCGATGTGTATCATTATCGTCTGCATCATTTTATAAAGTTGTGAGGTTGCTATCAATATTGTTAATATCAACTAGTATCTCTTGTTACAATGGATTATGTACTTTGAGCCAGTTAAGAACTTGCTATATTAACCCTGGTCGTGATGCTTGAAAATAAACATTTCCTCTAGATTGTAACTTTCTCTTAAGCTTAAGTATTATTATACAAGATATATCAGATGGATGAGGAAGTTGATTACATGTCTGATCACATTCTACAGGTACATTGCATATTGCACCCTTAATTTTTCTCTGTTTTCCTTAATGCATGACCACAATCTTCTCAAGTACTATTCGTTGAGCTATTCATATTTGTTCTAGTTTTTTCTAACGAGGATAGTTTTTTGGGTATTTCATCCACATACATATTGTTCACTGCAGCCTGACATGGTAATTTTCCTTTTATTACCTTTGAATGACATGTGTTGCGTATATACTGTTTTTCATCAAACGACTGTTGAATATTGAAATATGTTTGGCAAGGGTATTTCTTGTTTATGCATGTTATTACTGATTTCTTGTAAAGTATTCGATTACAGACAGTACATATAAAATAAGGGCCTTCTCTTATTTTCCTCTTAAACTGGTCAATACACAATTCAACCGATCTGGCTTTCACTAATTTCTCACTGGGTTGGGAAAGTAATTCTTTCTTCTTTTTAGCATCCATAGTTGAATATTTTCTTTAATGTCTTCTAGAAACTTTTTTTTGGCAACAGGTTCCATGCTGTAATACATATGTCTTTTTCTGTGTTTTCTCATGATGTGTTTCCTTTCAATTTCAGTAATTTTACATGAAAAGAAGATAAATTGTATATCATATTCCATAGTTTGACATTCCTGTTTATTTGCATAATATTATTAATTTCCGCCACTAGATTATCCACAAAGAGTAAATACTTACAGAAAACCTCTGTCCAGAACCACAGGCCTCTCTACCAAAAGAATACTTTGTTTAAGTTTGATACTTTAGGTAGCTTGCTTTATTTGCAAAATAATTAACATTAAAGACATCAGTACATACACATTAACACAACTGCCAAAATTTATTTCAGCCAGAAACTTGTTTATTTTTTTTCAATTATTAATAATCATGATGTTATCCCACTCATCGATCTGTATGGCCTTGTACAAATATATGAAACATATTTCTCCATTATTTTGTTCATGAGATGCTCAAGTTAAGATAAAATCTCCAATGATTATTGTTAGGACCACTGCTTTGCCAAGCAACTGGGCTAGAACAGATTGAATAACTGGCAATACAGAAAACAATACTGAATACACTTATTGGCAACAGGTTCCATGCTGTCATACATAGGTTTTTTTTCTGTGTTTTTGATGCGTTTCCTTTCAATTTCAGTAATTTCACATGAAGAGCAAATAAATTGTATATCATATTCCATAGTCTGACATTCCTGTTTATTTTGAATAATATTATTAATTTCCTCTACTTGATTATCCACACCACGAATGTGTATTGTCTGTTTCATTGTAGGTGAATGACTGTCTTCATATGTCAGAAGAGAAAACAATTGCTTTACTTTTGTATTTTTTTGATATTAAATACAAGCTATACAGCAACTTGAAATCCACATTAAAAAGCCTGTTTTCCCAGTGTGGTTCCTTAAAATCAAGGTCTCTAAAGATATTCTGTTTTCAGTTAAATTACTTAATTATATGAGACTTACTTCATTAACGTGTAAATTTATGTTAGTGCCAAAAATTGTAACACTGTCAGGCAGGGTAACAGATGTTAAGCAGTACTTACTCTGCATTGTATTGTTAAGCTGAGATCCATTTTCAATAATTGCATCTAAATTATTTGAGTTCCAGTAACTACAAGGTGAAATGATTGAGTAAGGTAGAATAAAGAACTACTGCCAAACAGTGATCTTTGTAACACTTGTGTTGACCTGATATCTCTTTAATACTTCTTTTACATTGTTGCTTATTGCCACATCATATTTTGTAATTTGTAAAACTTTTAGTTCATACAGATCAGTTGCTCCATATAAACTTTGAAAGTGATGCACTAAGTTGTCTGTAGATGATATATCTAATAGACCACATGTCCCTCGAGTGTGACTTTTACCATAAACATCTTTAGCATGTGAGTCAAACACTTTAAAATGGCCATTGTCAGCACAGTAACTAATACTCACAGCAATTGAATTGTAGACATATCTCATCGAAGATTTAACGTTTCTTGTTCTAAAAATTGGTTTCCTTCTTATTTTTTGTACAAACCTGATTTTTGTTTTATATGTACTTTTTTTTCATGTTGCATTATTTTTAATAAGATCATGGACTTTCGATGACTTTGGTACGTTTTTACTTAAACGGCTCCGTACATAACTCTGCAGTTTTCTAATTTTCTGAGAGAGACGTTCTAACATCCTAACTTATATTCTGCTTAGTTCACGATCACTTTTATAGCCATATTGGCATTCGCACCCAACACGAGTGCGATTATAATATACAAACTTTGTATAACGAGATCTGAATTGTTGTACTTTTATTGACACTATAACATTATGTTTAATATGTACAATAGTCCTATTGACAACTTTTTCTAGTAGATTGCAGTCATCAAGAGTATTTACGATCGCTTGTACCATAATAATAATGATTGTGTAAGAAATACAAAATCGTACTTCACAAGTACTGAACCCAATAAAAACCAATAACAGAAACAGTATATTTAACGGAAGAGCTAAGCTTAGATATTCAACCTTATTATTCAAGTTGCTTCTGTCAGTATCCTTATCCAATTCGCTGTTGTTGGCGCCACCATCGAAGTTGTGTTCACGAACATTCTTGATTTTTTTCAGCAAGTGAGGTGCTCGTCTCAGCATCATAGTTTGTTGTTAAATCGGCTGTCACAGTTTTGCCAGTATTTTCGAAATTTGAACTCACGTATGGCTCATTTGTTATCTCGTGAGAACTAGTATGAACTTTGCACATTTGGCTAGCTTTCAAGCTAGAGAGTTCGTGAGTAGTTACGAAAACGAAGACCCCGAAAACGAAGACCTAAGACCCCCTTACGAAAACGAAGACCCTCCTACAAAAACGAAGACCCATCACGAAAACGAAGACACATTACTAAAGCAAGTTCAAAAGTGGTTAGTATTACCTTTGTGGACAAAGATTATGTTCATGAGACACACTACAAAAACGAAGATCCTTACGGAAATCTTGAATTCTGAATTTGGCACGTCTGTAATTTATTACGGAATATTTCAACAGTAGAGCCTCATGGAGCCTTCAATGGGACTACTTTAAAGCTAAAACGAGATTTAATAGAAGAGACATGACATGCATATGGTGGTATATAATGAAGCAACAAGATATAAGTTTATTAATGAAAATAACATCGACTAGCGGTAATTAAACTTCCAGCGAGGAAAAATATACTGTTGTTTGAATAAAACATGGCAATTCGACCGATTGATTTCAATAAAACTTTTCTTGCGGGTAAAAAATTAC